CTTCAAACATTGCGTGAAGACTTAACATGGAGAGCCTTCAAACATTGCGTGAAGACTTAACCTGGAGCGCCTTCAAACATTGCGTAAAGACTTAACCTGGAGAGCCTTCGAACATTGCGTGAAGACTTAACCTGGAGAGCTTTCAAAATTGCGTGAAGACTTAGCCTAGAGAAGCTTCAAACATTCCGTGAAGACTTAGCCTAGAGGACCTTCAGACATTATTTTACAATATAAATGAACTTGATATCTTTACCTCAAATCTCCATTTAAGTCGTAATTGACTATTTTGTTTAGGGAGAAATATTTATTCCTAAAACAATATTATATGTATCAAATAACAGATTGTAATTAATTAGTAATTACCACCAGAGGGTACCTGTGAATTTTCGGGTTAGAATTGGTCTTCAGTAACCCATGCTTATCGTAAGAGGCGACTAACGGGATCGGGTGGTAGAGAGTACCCAACATGTATAGTGTATGTGATATATGTCGTGATTTAAAGGACTGGGGGTTAGACTCGGCGATTGGTTTGTGGATTGTTGCTCATAATTACAGACACTGGATTCTCTGGTCCAGACACGATGTACAGATCGCCGTTATATAAGTCGAATAATGCAGTAGAAAACACACACACACACATACTGTAACTGCTACAATCTCCCTGAAGTGAAAACAACGAAACATTTTGGAGAAAAGAGAAAAAGGCATTCTGATTTTAATTTTACCTATCTGACATTTATGACTGAATACCTGTACTATTTTGGACACTTTGTGCGTCTCTCTCCTCTCTCTCTCTCTCTCTCTCTCTCTCTCTCTCTCTCTCTCTCTCTCTCTCTCTCTCCCTCTCTCTCTCTCTCTCTCCTCCCTCTCTCTCTCTATCTCTCTCTCTCTCTCTTTCTCTCTATCCCTCCCTCCCTCCCTCCTCTCTCCCTCTCTCCTGTACTATTTTTGGACACTTTGTGCGTCTCTCTCTCTCTCTCTCTCTCTCTCTCTATATATATATATATATATATATACTCTCTCTCTTCTCTCTCTATATATATATATATATATATATATATATATATATATATATATATATATATATATGACACCCGCAATGAAAGACTGATTGAACTTAGGATGTTTTTACTATTACGGGAATATCCAAAATCTGTTGTTGAAGACGGAATAAATAAAGCTTTACAGCTTAATAGAGAAGATCTTTTGACAGGAACGATAAAACAAACCGATGAGGAAAAAGTAATTGCTTTTGTATCCGTTGAATCCAAATGTGTTCCAGAACATAAAAACAAATATTAAATCTTAGAACAAGATGAAAAACTGAAATCAATGCTGAAATCTAGAAAAATAATAAATAACAAAAGACAAAATCAGAATCTTAAACAGATACTAACAAAGGCAAAATTTATTTAAAGAAACAGAATTTATCAAATCCTACTGTGTCTAGATGCAACAGAGGTAACTGTGGAACCTGTTCTCGCTAATTGTTGAAGGACACTCTGTAACTTTCACGAGACACGGAGAATTCTATGTAAAACAGAATTTTGACTGCTCTTCCAAAAACATAATATATGTCATAACATGAACAGGCTGTAATGAACAGTATATTGGTCAATCATAAAATTTAAGAGCGCGGGTTCATGTCCACAAACAACAAATAAAGTGTCCTGACACCCGAAGTATCCCACTGAGTGAACATCTAGATGTCTGTGCGAAAGGAAACGATGTTAAGTTTACAATATTTCCTTTTTATCAAGTTCAAAATTCGGACATAGTAAAACGAATTTTAAAAGAACACTACTTCATAGACAAGTTCAAACCAATGTTAAACCATTGCAAGCTGTGACCTTGTCGCTCTAGAATGTTGTCCCTATTGTGACGTCACAACATATATGTAATGACGTCATACTGTAACCGCTACAATCTCCCTGAAGAGTAAAGAACGAAACATGTTGGAGAAAGAAGCATTCTGTTTTTATTTATCTATGTTATCTATATATATACAAACTGGAATGGGTGATGTAAAACTAAATAAAATTATCTATTATCACACACACACACACACATTTATAATAACTGATCAATCCATTTATAACCTGTGTTTTTTCCGGTTATATATTTTTATATCATGTGAGATCTATCATATTGTTTTGCCGATTGCGATTTTCAGTCGAAACCACTTAAACTGCTGCTGTATTCAATGGAGTTACTTGGATTAAGGTACACTTGCTTGGGTAAATATAACGCGGTTGTTATGACTCGTATGAAAATATTTGGGAATATTTTACGAAATTGTTGAGTCAAATACGCAGGAAATATGCGTCATGTAAAAGCCTTTACCTATTGTCACGATAAGTCATCGATCAAGAGACATACGTGTATGGCATAAATGGTGACCCATAAATTATATGGGCGGCGATAGCAACTCGTTGTCTCCATTCCAAATCCCCTTATGATTCACGTTGTTGTTATTGTAGCGACCTATGTTGAAGGGCACTAAACAATGTCATGGATGTAGGCCAATCTCGTACAAGGCTTACTTTATTTTGTGTTTAAACCAATGACAATGTCACTTTACGAACAAAATGTATGTATGCAACCCAAATCGTGTTGACCTACTGAGCCTACTACAGAGTGAGTGAGTGAATTGTACGCCGCTCTTAGCACTATTCCTGCAATATCACGGCGGAGGACACCAGAAATGGGCTTTAGGACATGAATTCTGAAACAAAAACTCACAGAGTTGGTCTGATGATTTGATTATGATCAGCGTTTCATTGAGCATTATATGTTTATTAGTTTTCGAGTTAGATTGCAATTCATCCATGTGCATTTGAACCAAACGGACCGTACATCCTAAGTCTGCTCTGTCTTTGTCTCTTAAATAAAAGCGGTAAGATAATATAGAAAATCTGCTAATCAGCACAAACAAAAGCCTGTGTTTATGAATGATTAGCAAGTATACCAGATATTCGCGAAAAGGTGAGCGTATTCGGTCCTTATGGTGCCTGGCATCACAAAAACACGCAAAGGCAAGTCAACTGTGAGTCAGGAGAAACACAGGAACATATAGTCGAAAATAGAGTTTTGAATCACTGAAATGAGTGAGGTTTGGAAAGTCCTCAGCATGTCTGAGTGTCATTAAATGTTTTCAAAGCTCTTCTGGGAGGTTCATCTTGTAAACCTGATCACCCTAATCTTTAATAACCAGCATATGGAGAAGACTTTGAAATCGTAGAAACAACATACTCACTTGTACCTAGAAGACTGTGAAAATGAGACACCAAAGGCTTGGTCTGCTGGAATGAGGCACCACGTGAAAAGGGAGAGTAAAAATCATCCTTCGTGCAATTAACGTATGTTGATATAATGATAGACGACCTACGAATGGCTGCTAGAACCAAATAAGGCGAGGCCATCAAAAGAAAAAAAGAAAGGGTGTTGTTTGGAAACTGTTTTGTTTTTAAATGTCCCGCTTCTTTACTGCCACTTTCATCAAACAGTAAATCTTGGCACACAAGTTCCCTAGACGTTTCTGTAGGATACTTTGTACCTTTAAACATTCATTGACTTTGAGGTACATGTACTTGTACTTATGAAGGTTTTTCATTAGTGTAAATATTCCAAATATAAACTGAGAACACGGGTAATTTAAACTGGAATTTACGGTAGTAGTTTCAAGGAACTGCCATCGCTGACGTAATTCAGAGGTCTGCTTTGACGTAATAAGTAATGACGTCACTGACTATAAATGTTAACATTCTAGTGACCCCCTTACGTTATTCAAGAAACATGACGTCATATCACATCGTTAACTGTTAATTATAACATAATCCTAACCCAGCACTAATAAAAAGTCGAGACATTTATAACAAAAAACACTATAAATTGTCTGAAAACCTAAAAACAATAATCTTTGTGGTGAATTCAAGAAATAATTTTTAAAAATAGCTTTGTAACATTTCTAAATTTAAAGAAGCTTCGCTACTATTATTTCAATCAGTGCAGTAAGTTGCATTGCCATCCATCGTGTAATGAAAAAAGGTCCTTTTCTGATGATCATCTTGACATCAGTAGAAAGCATTACGACAGTTTTATGAAGCTTTTCACTTTCGAGATGACATTTATTTGGCATTAACCACCTTTTTTCTCTAAGAACTAATTTTTCATTTTATTATGGGTGATTAAATATTTTATAAAAACTGAAAATGGATAACTATCAAAAAAGATTAAGTGTTAAATGCGCACAGGGGTATATTTCAAGTAAAACAGTATTCGTATGTTTCTAAATTTACGAGCTTACCTGACACACTTTTCTCCCCTGTCAACTTTATTAGTCATATGACAGTTGTGATTGACACATGTTCATATCCAGGTACAAGTTGACAATGTGTGACGTACCTGGATATCCACTGAGGCAGGTGACACGCGAGAAAAGGAAAATGCGGCTTTGAGGATGACCTCGTTAAATTACATCAGGAAAGCCTGTAAAAATCGCTGGGCTCAGCATTTTGCTAAATACAACATTTTAAGTCCCATGTAATAGGTAAAATGTAATAATTTTCAAATTATTTGCTTTCTATTTCACGGTCCTCTTAAACAGAGATGAACTGGATGAACTGGGTCTTGGATGACACTTGTTGATTGTGATATAAACACGTGTTGATCCTTTCGCGAACACCTGGTGTTTGCAATCATTTTCAGCGATCAATTCATACTGGCGTGGCCAGTTTTTTCGCCAAAACAAATTCGAAAAGCATGACAGAACATCAATTAAGATCTGTAGGACGTCATCAGTCTCAACTCTATCCATTTACATCAATATCCTTGTCTGAAGTCTTGTGTCCATCTCCAGGATATCATTAATGTCTGCACATTCAACGTTACAAGCAAGGGGTGACTTGGTTTTAAAGAAGGTAACCTGTTTATAATGCATTACATCTTCTGTTATGTTTGTCTGGCAGGTGAGCCTGTGTGTGCAGATGGCGCTCGCCATGATGCCGACGTCACAGCAGTCTCCACAGCAGGTGTCTGGCGGCGTTGACATGTACGTCATGGACCCAAACACGGCCAGTGTAGCTCTAGGAGGTAACATCATCGTTTCATTGACAGGAAACATATGAAGAAGCTTTGAAAACCACAAAACTATGAGGGCATCGGGTACATCGTGAAGACTACTTCAGAATAGTTCAGATGAAGATGACACACTGAATGTGATTTATGACTAATAATTTTGAATCAGAAGGTTATTGTGTTATTAATGTAAACTTAGATGTGTAACAATGCTTCGAATTGTATCGAAGTTATTATTCATGGTTTTCAGCCTTATTGGAATTTGACTTTCAATTTAATTTGAGTATTTGGTAGCCGCAAAAGAAATAAATCAAAAAGTACTTACTCCAAAATATTTGTACTTCTGTTTATGTTTGGAGACTTTAATAGCATCATAGTAAGTCAAGTACTGCTAAAAACGCTGAGAAGTGTGTATAAAAATATTGTACTCTTTTTCCTTTGCGATTGTCTGATTCTTTCTTTATCTGAAAAGTAGATACCTAAGACACGGTACAGTTCCTAACATGGACAGAAAATGCGAAGAAACTTACGGACGCCATAATGATATTGTTAGTGTGCTGCTACATGTTGTGTAAGACTGTATAATTTCATTTATTCACAGGCCCAGAGGCCATTGTAGCTCCTGGAGATCCTTCACTAACCAACATCGTGCCTAACGGACCAGAACCCCTACCCGCTCCAGCTATAGTACCCACCCAACTGACAAACCCTAGCGCACCACAGCCAACATACATAGATCCCGTCATTAATGATCCTGTCCCCCAAACAAACCCAGTCCCCAATGTAGCTCCCGTAGACCCCTCGACTGCATATGGAAATCTTCCCGTAGATCCCATCCAGAATACAGTAACTAACCTTGACCCTACTGCTGCGGCACCGATAGGGGTTGACGGTACTGCTAAACCTTTTACTCCTACAGTTGTTGGCCAGGAACCACCACCCCCTTCAGGGTCAGCCCCTGTTGGTACAGGAACAGATCCCGCATCCATCCCACCACCTGATATAATTCAGCAGGGGTCCGCTGCCCCATCACAACCTTCAGGAAACAGTCTTCTGTCCTTAGGTACGTTTACTTGTACAGCTTAAAATGAGGAATTTCGTAAGGACTTTCGTGAGGAACATAATTGTTTAGGACCTTTGAATGGCTATTTAGCTGTTTAGCTCTTTAGAAGTGATACACCTAAGAAAGAGAGTTTTTATGGATGTCAACTTCTTTATTATGAGGAACACAACGTTTCGGAGTATATCCTTACTCATTTATCACCTGATGAAGGAGTAAGGATATACTCCGAAGCGTTGTGTTCCTCATAATAAAGTAGTTGACATCCATAAAAACTCTCTTCCTTCGTAAACCGTTTCAAACTTCCTCATAGCAATAGAAAGAATATCTCTTGAATATGTTTGTATGCATGGTGTTAAAACCAAACTGTTCAGTATGAAAATGTAGGTGTGGGTCCTCCTCTCGAATTAGGACATTACATTTGCAGCTTTAAGTCAAGGTGCCCCAGCCACAGACCCTGCGGCGCCGATTCCAACATACGACCCTGCAGGAACCGGCGCACCTCCTTTGGGTGGAGAAGCTGCAGGGGGACCGACGTCGTTCATGGGCGGTGCACCTCAGCCACCAGCACCTCTGGGAGGAGCACCACTGCTGAATGCGCCATCTTCACCAACGGGGGCAGCACCTACCCAGTTTATGTCACCGCCAATGGGCGGGACACCTCTTCTTAATGCGCCATCATCACCAACGGATGGGGCATCTCAGTTCAATGCGCCATCTTCACCAACGGGGGCAGCACCTACCCAGTTTATGTCAGCACCAATGGGAGGGGCACCTCTTCTTAATGCGCCATCATCACCAATGGATGGGGCATCTCAGTTCAATGCGCTATCTTCACCGACGGGGCAAGCGCCAACGCAGTTTATGTCCCCACCACCAATGGGCGGAGCACCTCTTCTCAATGCGCCATCAGCACCACCGACGGGTGCAGCATCTCAGCTCAATGCGGCATCCTTTCCGACGGGAGCAGCACAGCCACCAATGGGAGGAGCACCTCTGCTGAATGCGCCATCATCATCGACGGGAGTAGCACAGCCATCAATGGGGGGAGCACCAGTGCTGAGTGCACCATCATCATCACTACTTAACGCAGTATCATCCCCCATGGCAGGATCTCGCCCTCCATCAAATCCATACAGACCTAACACTTATCAAAGAAGTCCATTCTCGCAGAGCCAGCAGTCATCCTTTGGATCCAACCCTTTCCAGCCTCCATCCAGCCCATGGGGACAGCCTTCGTTTGGTTCATACACGAATGGCGGGCCTCTGGATCAGTTCTCTGGCTCCGGGAACCGGATGGGACAAATGAGTCAGATGGGCCAGTTTGGACAAAGGAACCGTTATAATCCATACACTGGTAAGTTAACCTGTTGATAAGTATTAACAGTAATAATAATTATTATACAAACATATCGATTTATATAACCGAATATCCAGATGTGTCCTGCTCAAAGGTGCTTTCGTATAAGTCTGATAAGGAAAGGGCCACTCGGAACTGTAATATGATTTCAAAAAGAATGTTTTTAACGTTCTCTTACATGCACAGATTTCCTCTGCACTTTTAATGCACAATGGGATGTTGTTCCAAAGCATAGGACCTGCTTTTGAAAAGCATCCGTCTCCAAATGTGTTCGTCCTCGTACATGAGGGGCGGTGGGGTAGCCTAGTGGTTAAAGCGTTCGCTCGTCACGCCGAAGACCCGGGTTCGAATTCCCACATGGGTACATTGTGTGAAGCTCATTTCTGGTGTCCCCTGCCGTGATATTGCTGGGATATTGCTAAAAGCGGCGTAAAAACCAATCTCACTCACTCACTCGTACGTGAGCGGTAAAGAGATAAGTCTTCAGATGAGTTAGAAAAGTGTCTTTTATTGGACAATTTCCAGTGGTAGAGCATTAAAAAATGTTGGAGCTACAAAGCATAGAGCCACTTCATCCATTTCTGTTTTAGTTTTGGGAACTTGAAGCAGTCATCGAGCTTATATCCATGTTTGTCGCCCTTTTAATAAGAAACGGTTATTCGTACGGGGTCCTGTTCGAATCCGGCTTTGGCAGCGATTGATATTTGGATCAGGTGTGACATCATGCCACATGTTGACTGTTGTGCATGCTATCACCCTCTCGTTTGCTGGTTCTGACTCGATTACTTACAGACTGCAGCAGTCTAGCTACTTTAGTGCAACATAATCGTATGGACACCATAAATGGGCTTCCCACTTAGGGCCCATGTTGGGAATCGAACTCAGGTCTTCGGCCAACGCATTAAACACAAGGCTACCTCACCGCCCCCAATGTGTTAGAAATTTCTATATAGTAGTAATAGTTCATGTGTATTGATAAACATGGTATTGTTCTAAACATTACAGGCTACCGACCACAACGCCAGCGACAGCAACAACAACAGCAACAGCAACAACAACCTCAAATACCCTTCCCTTTACTGTTGTAAGTATTTATGTTACACAAAAGGAAGTCTTGATTCTCCTACACTCGGTGATGAAAGAGAATGTCCCTCTGATCTATACGAATATGGACGAAACATTGGAATAGTTCTCTATTTTACACCTTTTTCACCTTTTCTTTATTGGTATGCTAAAATATGCTTTCTGTTAAATATACCTTTAGTGTATTTGTGTTTTGTTGCTGTCATATGTTTTGCAGTCCCGATTCTCGCATTTCATAAATGGTAACCCCTAAACATGTGATTAGTGTACACAATGAAGATGTTCATTCCATTTCTGTTCCTCGTGAAGGTCGCAGGTTTCGATCCCCGACCGCGTCATACCAAAAGACGTTAAAATATGGTACTTGTTGGTCCCTGCCTGGCGCTCGGCAGTAATGGGTACAACAAGGACTGGTCGGCTCGGAGTCAGCATAATGTGTCTGAGTGGGGTATTCATGCTTCACTGCGGCATGGTATCTCAGTGGGCTAGCACTATAAAACCAGCTTCAGTCTGGGCTAGTACAATCAGCCGCACATACACATACACACGCATGCACGTCTTCATATGAGCGAAATATTCTCAAGCACGACGTTAAACGCAATTTCACCTCACCTCACCTCTGTTCCTCGTGGGAACACCCGTGAAGATCCGGGTTAGAATTGGTCTTCAGTAACCCATGCTTGTCGTAAGAGGCGACTGACGGGATCGGGTGGTCAGGCTCGCTGACTTGGTTGACACATGTCATCGTATCCCAATTGCCTAGATCGATGCTCATGATGTTGACCACTGGATTGTCTTGTCCAGACTCGATTATTTACAGCCCGTCGCCGTACAGCTGGAATATTGCTGAGTGCGGCGTTAAACAACAATCAATCAATCAATCCTCGTGGTAACATGACCGGAATTTCAAAGACATCGTTCCGTCCATAACCTTCGAAGCCCAAAATGCACCAGGATACATGTAGAAACCCACGATTGTCCTAAGAAGAGACTAAGGGGACCGGGGATCCAGACTGACTGACCGGGGATCATCATACTACAATGGCGTAGATACATGATATTGATCACTTGATTATCTGGCCCAGACTTGATTGTTCACAGACTGCCATTATACACCTGTGATATTGCTGAGTTAAACAACAAACAGTTCTGCAAAGAGCCAAGGATCATTATCAGATGGTGTAATCGTGGTAAACGGTTTGCCTCAATATTAAACTGACACACCGTTATATAACGGAATTGCGCAGATCGATGCTCATGGTGTTGATCACTGGATTGTCTGCTCCAGACTCGATTATTTACAGACCGCCGCCATATAGCTTGAATATTGATGAGTGCGGCGTAAAACTAAACTCACTCACTATATAACGGACACCCTGTTTGGTCTTACTCATCCACTGAATCTATTTTCATCTTCAGCTCCTTGTTAGGAGGCGGAGGAGGAGAGGGGGGACTCGGAACGCTGTTGTACCTGAATGCAATGGGTGAGGACTTCACACAGTTCCTTAGAAATAGTCTCCTTCTGAGACATTTGTGAAAGTCATCATAGAATGGGATAGCAATACCTACGAGTGAGAGATGGAGAAACAGTCGGTTTTCAGTGGCATTGGAATATTTTTAGTCTGTCTCACAGTCGCTGAACCATATTATTTTCCCTACAGCCTAGCCCTTCCTGCAATGCTAAAGCCCTAAATGAAGCAAGTCTAGATTTCTCCAGGTTCCTGGGTCTACTTTTCAATTTAAAAGGGTTTATTTGTTACAGTCAAAATAACATATATTCAGAGACTAAGCGTTAGTTTAGAGTATTTTCTATAACCACACTTATTCAAAACGGACTCTTATCATTCCCATAGATATCCTCGTTCTTCATACGGTACAAAGTTCAGTACTGCAGGCTTACTTGCCTCGTTGTTTTGTTTTACTTTGGAGACAGATGTCATGTGCCCTATGGGGCAAATGATAAACACTGTACTTTAACAAAATAAAAAACCCATTTACTGAAAACAGATATATCGAGCAAACATTTTGTTTACGATTAAACTCTCTCAGTAAAGGACGTATTTTAGTACTTTTGGGGGGTTTGCAATTTAACCCACTCAGCCATCGGTGTTTCGACAAAATGGAATAAGTACAGGGCTCAACCCTCAAATGAGTACTAGAATATGTATTTCACAGGCAAAGTGTAATCCAAAATGTGACATGTTACATTTGACCACTTTCTGAAAGGTATCTTTTCCATATTGATAGCTGAATACTTGTATTTACATGGTATCGTCTCTTTCAGGTCAAGGCCAAGGACAAGGACAAGGTCAACAGATGCCATTTCCCCTGATGATGTAAGTTCAGGTCCTTTCCAAGGTTATCCATATCCATGTTTGGTTTACAATTGGTTTTAGGTTTAAAGAAAACGCAAATTCTAGTCTCCACGTCGGAGAGTTATCGGTCGGGGGAGGCGGTAGATTGTTGGGTAACAGTTTAATATGGAAACCATACTCCACGCAGTCCCGCCCCGCACAAACCAGTCCCACTTCATCCACCCAACCAAACCCAACCCGACCTCAGCCTAATCAAAATCACCTAACCAAATCAAAGCCGACGTCACCCTAACCAACCCAATCTCACTGAACCAAATCCAACAGCACCTTATCCCACCTCAGCCAAACCAACCCCACACCACACCACACAAACCAGCTACAACTCCAAACCCCAACCAGTCCCACCTCACCAAACCAAACCTAACCACACTTCACCTCACCTCACCTCATCTAATCCAACCATAGCTAACCACAGTATCCCCAACCAAACCTAACCGGACCTCACCCAACCAAACCTATCCACACCTCACCCAACCAAACTTTACCACACCTCACCCAACCAAACCTAACCACACCTCACCCAACCATAGCTAACCACACCTTACCCAAACCAAACATAACCACACCTCACCAAAACAAACATAACCACAACATATAACCCAAAACAAATACCCAACCAAACATAACCACACCTCACCAAAACAAACATAACCACACCTCACCCAAACCAAACCTATTCAACCACACCCAACCAAAAAACAAACCCAACCAAACATCCACACCTCCACACTTACCCAACCAAACATAACCACACCTCACCAAAACCCCTCAACATAACCACACCTCACCCAAACCAAACATAACCACACCTCACCTCACCTAACCAAACCTATCCACACCTAAACTCACCCAAACAAACATAACCACACCTCACCCAAACAAACCTATCCACACCTCACCCAACCAAACTCTAACCACACCTCACCAAACAAACCACACTCACCCAACTCACCTCACCTATCACACCCTCACCCACCAAACATAGTCACCCAAACCATCATAACCACACCTCACCCAAAACAAAAACATAACCACACCTCACCCAAACAAACCCCAACCACACCTCACCCAAACCAAACCAATCCACACCTCACTCCCCCACTTCAACCAAACATAACCACAGCTCACCCAACCAAACCTATCCACACTCACCCAAACAAACCTATCCACACCTCACCCAAAAACAAACCTATCCACACCTCACCCAAACAAACATAACCCACACCTCACCTAAACAAACCTATCCACACCTCACCCAACCAAACATAACCACAGCTCACCCAAACAAACCTATCCACACCTCACCCAAACAAACATTTACCACACTCTCACCCAAACCAAACTCTATCCACACCTCAACCAAACAAACATTACCACACCTCACCCAAACCAAACCTATCCACACCTCACCCAACCAAACCTAACCAAACCTCACCCAACCAAACCTATCCACACCTCACCCAACCAAACATAACCACACCTCACCCAACCAAACATAACCACACCTCACCCAAACAAACCTAACCACACCTCACCCAAACAAACCTATCCACACCTCACCCAACCAAACATAACCACACCTCACCCAACCAAACCTATCCACACCTCACCCAACCAAACCTATCCACACCTCACCCAAACAAACCTATCCACACCTCACCCAAACAAACATAACCACACCTCACCCAAACAAACCTATCCACACCTCACCCAAACAAACATAACCACACCTCACCCAACCAAACCTATCCACACCTCACCCAAACAAACATAACCACACCTCACCCAACCAAACTAAACCTAACCAAACCTATCCACACCTCACCTAAACAAACATAACCACACCTCACCCAACCAAACCTTGCCACACCTCACCCAAACAAACCTAACCACACCTCACCCAAACAAACCTATCCACACCTCACCCAATCAAACATAGCCACACCTCACCCAACCAAACCTTACCACACCTCACCAAACCAAACATACCCACACCTCACCCAAACAAACATAACCACACCTCACCCACCCATAGCTAACCACACCTCACCCAAACCAAACCTTACCACACCTCACCCAACCAAACATAACCACACCTCAACCAAACCAAACATAACCACACCTCACCCAAACCAAACATAACCACACCTCACCCAAACAAACATAACCACACCTCATCCAAACAAACCTATCCACACCTCACCCAAACCAAACATAACCACACCTCACCCAAACAAACATAACCACACCTCACCCAACCAAACATACCCACACCTCACCCAAACCAAACATAACCACACCTCACCCAACTAAACATAACCACACCTCACTCAAACAAACATAACCACACCTCACCCAAACAAACCTATCCACACCTCACCCAACCAAACCTATCCACACCTCACCCAAGCAAACATAACCACAGCTCACTCAACCAAACCTAACCACACCTCACCCAAACAAACCTATCCACACCTCACCCAAACCAAACATAACCACACCTCACCCAAACAAACATAACCACACCTCACCCAACCAAACCTAACCACACCTCACCCAAACAAACATAACCACACCTCACCCAACCAAACCTAACCACACCTCACTCAACCAAACCTAACCACACCTCACCCAAACAAACATAACCACACCTCACCCAAACAAACCTAACCACACCTCACCAAAACAAACATAACCACACTTCACCAAAACATACCTAACCACACCTCACTCAACCAAACCTATCCACACCTCACCCAACCAAACCTATCCACACCTCACCCAACCAAACCTTACCACACCTCACCCAAACATACCTAACCACACCTCTGATCATAACACCTAACTGGCCCTTATACATTCACGTCCAAATCCATTTCAGGTCCATGATGGGAGGCGGTGGTGGGGAGATCTCGCCGTTGATGTACATGATGGGGAGCCAGTCGTCGCAGATGATGCAGAATCCGGTGCTGATGAGTTTCCTCTTCCGGTCTCTACTTGGTTGATGACGTACACTGAGCTGCACTTGAGCGACGTTTCGCATGCCTGTTCCGGGACGTCCCAGTACAAGGCATTGTCCTGCATTCACACATGCATTTCATCGTGGCAACCTGTGTGTCATACTTTCAGCCATTTCATCGGTTCATACCATACTTGCATTCGGGAAATTTGAAGGGAATAGTAACATAATACATGACTTATAGATACTTCTACAAATTGTATTTGCATGTATTTATTATTATAAAAACATTTGAAAATAAATATCTTTTTGTTAACATTTTTTTGCGCTTGGTGTTGTATTTGCACATTGTAGTGTTTGTGTTATTTTTGTGAAATGATCCGCATTTCACATTTCGCATTGGAGTTCACATTTTGTAGGTTTGAACTGATGCATGCGCAGAGGCCTATATCCGGTTGTGAAATAAAAACTGACAGTAGTGTGTGAACTACGTTGTGTCTTGGTTCAGGACGACTTAAATGTGTATTCTTCACACATAAAGATAAATTCACTGAAGTAAACGACTATTTGCATCCATTTGCATGTGGTTTATAGTGCAAACACACTTCCGGGCGAAAGAAGAACACCTCTGACAAATGGATTTAAAAATAAGACTTGAAAACAGTCGCCGAGATGCGTGCTACACGCATCAAATAGATCACCATCGAATAACCATGTGTTGGTTGTTTCATTTCTATCCACCAGGAAACTTGGGGATATACTATCTTTTGCCTGGCAGTTTACCAATACCAGTTCCAACAGAATGACATCAGAATAGAGTGATACTGCATAAAATGGAACTGACTTATCCATATGGGTACTGGTCCCATTCAAACAATATGTGAGTGAATGTGTTTTACGCCATCGTCAGCAATATTCGAAATGTATCGCGGAAGGCGTCTAATAACGCGGGGCGGAAGGGTAGCCAAATGGTTAAAGCGTTCGCTCGTCACGCCGAAGACCCGGCTTCGATACCCCACATGGGTACAACGTGCGAAGGTCATTTCTGGTGTCCCCTGCCGTGATATTGCTGGAATATTGCTAATGCCAGTAAGTCAATCACTAATAACGCAGTTGCATGGTCAGGCTCGCTGGGTTGGTCATTGCACGTACTCCTATCCCAATTGCGAATATCGATGCTCATGGTGTTGATCACTGGATTGTCTGGTCCAGACTCGATTATATACAGGCCGCCGCCATATAGCTGGAATATTTCTGAGTGCGGCGTAAAACTAAACTGAATCAAAGTCATGAACTTCTCCATCCAGCTTAAATATATGTCAAAATAGAGAGGTCTGTCAGACTCTTTGTACTCCATATCAATCACCGGAACGTCTGGTCCAGCCCCGATTGTTTCAAAAGCTGCTGGAATTACTGGAACATTGTTGAGTGTCGCGTCAGACAATGCGGATCAAAGTACACAAAATGTCTGATCCTGGCAGCCTGTCTGGCGTTAGACGGGTATCGACACTACCGGGTACCCATTCTCTGTTGGATGAGGCATCGAAACGAGGTCACGAGCATAAAACAGTAACAGGGGTGACCTAGAAAAGTAGCAACGAGAAGTCCCAAATATACCACAAAAGATATATCATAAACAGTGTCACTTATTTTCAAGACATGCCTCTCGAAGATTAGTGGAACATGATTCCGACATTAACCTGTCACCTCGTGAAGTAACATTACTCGCGACGATGCTAGGGGAGGTAAAGAAAACATTAACGACACATTCACCACTAAACTGTACAGCGGAACGAAATATACGGAAGAGGGTATCACGTTTTTGTATCCATTAGGTATAGACGTATATATCACCATAGGGGTCACTCTAGTGCTTCAGACAAGCTGGGCCTTTGACCGTGTGTTCGGACATCTGTCATTGTTGATTTGATGGTCTCGTGAATGATCCTTGAGTGCAATGATATCAATCACACTGCCAGGTTCATTCGTGACTACTCGTGTTATTTCGGTGCAGGCAGTCGACAATCCTCGCCCTTTCCCGTCACTGCAAAGATGTCTCGGCAGTGAATGTAAGAAACGAGCTAAGTTGTGGTCGTGAAGAGGCCTTTTTTGTGCGTCAATAGGTTCATCTGTTTTTAATTTTGGTTAATCTCATATGTAAGTATTCTTATATATACATATTGCATCCTAAATATATCCGATAAATACCCCAATTCTTTACGTCGTTTTGAAACGTGAAGATTGTACAAGCACGCTGGTTGTCAACATTTTTAAGCACCTGCTTTAGAGTGAGCAGTATCTATATCTTTCATTGTCGTGAATCTCGTGATCTATCAGACTGTCAAAGTCACATACCACGACCACAGATGAAGCGAGATCCATACGAGCACCCATGAAAGAACATCACAGAAAATAATGTCGGCCTAGTCAATGATTATTTTGTAATATCTTTAGAAGAGAAGAGCCTAACTTATAATTCCTTGGCCTTAGGAGCATGCGGAGTTTGGATCAAAATATGACTAAAAGCCACGTTTTTTAAATTTCAGTCGCCATGATTGTCATGTAAGGAAGGTAATCAACTGTAAATAGAGTTCGGGTCGGGTCGGGTCGGCGGTCAAATGTTTACATCATGTGACGGGCTTGCGAGTTTCGATCCGACGAAAAAGGCCGATTGTGTTCAGTGCACTCGTAGGTCACGGAAATAAGAATACGAATGGTTCCGAATATAACTCTGAAAGGCGACTAGTTTTATTTCTGATAACTTGATTTTAACAAAGGGTGTCTCTTATGTCTGATTACAGCGATTTTAAAACATATCTGCTGGATTAAACATATCTGCTGGTTATCCTGAAAATCATGGGGTTAAGTGTCCAGCTGAAAATAGGAATTTCGTTTATAATGTATGGGGCATGACTAAGTTGACATTATGTCCTTTCCTCTACAAATCTACCTTGGAAACGACTTGTGGTGACATTAACTTAGGCGTTTTTATTTGCTTGGTTTACGGGTTCTAAAAATATATTAGGTCGGTAGGGAGGGGGATATGGAGATATAATATGCACACTTGAGTATATCATATATGCCTGAGCAGCCTGTGGCATTACCTTTCTCTCTCTGTTCCACTCTGTTTCTGGGAATATTTGAAAGGTATCATTTGCTATTTGTTCTTATTTTAGTTACTTGTTCACTTTCTTTGGTTTTTTTACCAGATCGGCGGCATATAATGGCAAAAAAAGTAATAACAATATTTTTTCCCGCTTTCTTCATATTTCGGGGCGGAGGATCCGTAAACCAAGTAATATAAAATGCCTTTGTGTTTACAGACGCTGGGTGATGGTTTCATGCTCACTGTGACATGCTGTATGCAATAGAAATTGTAAGGTCAGCATATCGTGCTCTTGAATAATTAACCCCTAACCACATTTTACTCATGTGGCGACATGTCTTGAAATGTTTTACACGGAAGTATATAAAACTTTGGTTCAAACAGTCCTAACATATTGCTTCTTGTTTGCGGTGGTTGCGATACCTGGACTGGTTGGCTGGTTGGTTGTTTAACGTCGAACTCCAACTATGGCGGTGGTCTGTAAATAATCGACCCTGGACCAGACAATCTAGTGATCAGCATCATGAGCATCGTTGTACGCAATTGGGATTCGATTACATGTGTCACCCAAGTCAGCGAGCCTGACCGCCCGATCAAGTTAGTCGCCTCTTACGACAACCATGGTTGCTGAAGATCAGTTCTATCCTGATCTTCACGGGTACCCGGAGGTGCCATACTTAGCAAGAAGAAAAGATTTGGCCAACAAGTGAAATTATAGCATGAATCAGCATATGTGTGGTTCAGACGCGAACGCCCGACAGACAACAGATAAACATGGATGTAGACTTGATGGATAGCTTCGGAAGTCCGGTAACTGTAATTTTTTCAAACAATATTTTCATAAAATTGCATTGATTAATGTATTGTGTTCAGATAAAAAATCGCTAACCAATGTGCTCAATAGCATTTCACTTTTTTCGATATTTATTTATAAAACCAAGTAAAGCCAAGGAGTTTACTTTTCAAATAAACACTAGTTCAGGCTTATGTTACTTTTATGCATCCCATTTGTATAATGAAATATCAACGTGAACCTACTACAAAGCCAGCCATTGCCTCCCTTCGTTCAGTGATCTGTAAAGTCACAGATTAAACAGGCAGATTTGGTATTTAGGTGTTACGTACGGCATTAAACAAACAAACAAAGGCATCGACGAACTGGATTTGGGGTTTGAGACATTGCTTCAGGTAGTGTTTGAGGAGTACCAATTCTAACCATATCCACATCTGGTTCCACAACAATAGCTTTTGCAGAAAATATCTGTTTAATATACACCTATATCCGTATTTGTACCTTTGGAATACAAGTCCGGTTTTTATTCGATCTGGAACGAGTTTTGTGAATGCTGATTGGAATGCGGATGGAAACCCATTGTGACGTCACATCAGTTGGCTGATGAATGTCATCGTATTCCCATAACGTAGATCCATGTTCATGATGTCAGTCACTGGATTGTCTGGTCCAGATTATATACTAAGCAGCAAAAGAAACGTCAGTTTGGAATTTGCCTTCGCAGAAACGGATAACTGTAAACTCATTTAATGTTTTGATTGTATATTTTTGAAATCTCCAACTTTCCCTGAGCAAAGACATTCCTTCCCAAACTCAGAATGGAACCCAGGAAATGGTCTCAAAAGCGCAACCTGATCTCGGAGATGGTACGGTGTTCTCCATGTTTTTCATGCAACTCATGCTGCACGTGCTTTTCACAAGGACCAGCCCTATAAAATGCACCCCCAAACCTGGTTGAAACATTCACATTACAACGTCAGCAGGATGCCCCTTCTCACGACAGCTCAGAGGAACGAGGCGCTAGGAAGACTAGAAGCTGGCCACACTGCACAAGCCGTTGCCAATCACTTCCAGATCAATGTTCGGACCATCTACAGGCTGCAGCAACGTTTCCGGGCCACCAACACCACAAATGATCGCCACCGTACAGGCAGACCAAGGGTGACCACAAGACGACAAGACCGCCATGTTGTGCGACATCATGTACAGAATCCCTTCATGCAGGCTTCCGAAACAGCGCGCCAGACAGTGGGAACACTCGGAAGACCAATCAGTACTGATACAGTACGCCTCCATTCCCGT